TATTTCTTTCCACAAATTTGAGGGTTGTGCTAGATTATCATAAGTCTAATATTGATGAGAAATTTCAGAGAGAAAATTTCGTTTGCTTCAGGTATTTTTTATCATTCATATTTACATATTATAATGTTTGGTTAATGTATTTATATTCACCACTGTTAAATGGACTCTTTGGAAAATGAATTTATCATTTCTGTCATTCCTACTTTCATATTTAGAAATTTACATATTTTTACTCACCACTTTTAAATGAATTCTTTAGAAAATGCGTTAATGTTTGTCAATTTTTATGTAAAGTATTTTACAGATCCGAACAACATCAAAAAACAAATTTAAATACAGTCTTAATGTTATAAACTTAAATATACGAAGCATCCCAAACAAACTGCTCGATTTAGAAGCGTCAATTAGCTCTTACGATTGTGAAATACATATTATGGTTTTAAATGAAGTCTGAATTCAAAGTTCTGGCAATAATTTCTACAAAATGTCGGGTTTTACAGGCTATTTTGCAAATCATGAAACAGCATACGGGGGTGTTGTAATTTATATTAATGGCAACCTTGATAGAAGTATTTTATTCAAAGAGGAATATAGTAAATCAAATATCTAGGTGCTCGATTACTAAAAAATAACGTTGAAATCATTTCAATGCACAGATCACATAAAACTTATTCTTACAACGCGATGAACAAACTAGAATAAAAAAAATCTGATGTGGTCAGCATATATCCGACCACAATGTGTATTGTCTAGTTGAGTGAAAAAGTTGCAAAATAATATAAAAATGTCTGTTAAATACTTATTTAGGACATTAGTAAGCTTATAGTTAACATACCAAAAAAATATAAATTTGGCTCTTAGTAGAATTTCGCTTTGTGTTACCCGAATACCCTGTAATGCTCGCCAGTTAGTTTCGGTAACAACCAGAACTCAAATATCAAATTTCAAGAAATTCCATCAATTTGTTCTGTGGATATGGTGAAAAATGTAAAATCGGCCCGCAAATCAGTTTTCGAGCCCTGATCTTTCCAAAAAATTTATATGTTCATTGTTTTAATACGAAAAATTTAAATATTGAATTTCAATGAAATCGGTTGATTATTTCTCTTTATATACGCAAAAATGTATATTTGGCCCGTAGTAAACGTCCAGTTGCTGTAAAATTTCAAGTAAATTGGTTTAATATTTTCTTCAAAATGCTCAAAAATGTAAAACAGGCCCGCTAAAAGGTACATTTCCCGATGCCAGACATATCCCAAAAGTTGATCAATTCGTGCCATGGTCGAAATAAACTTACATATAAAATTTCATCAAAAGCGGTTCAGCCGAGCTTGAGATACACGCGTGCACACACAGACCGACGGACCGACAGGTTGCTAAAAACAGTTTCCCTACTATGAAGAAGCTCATTCCCACCGAAAATTCGATATGCAAAATTTGTTGCCATCACATAACCTACCTATCGTACACACAATACGGTCGGTAAATACATTTCAAAATAGAAAAATACCGTTGTTATAGGTTTTCAACTGTTTATTGTTAGTATTCAAAACCTATTGATAAACCAACAACAGTTTTGACCTATAACGGTATTGACAATGACGCAATATTAGAAAATATAGACCGATACACTAACTTTGACGAACTAGTAAAGAACTGGAGCGATATTGTTACAAAATGTAAAAAGACAGAATTAATCAACAGAACATGATCAAAAACGAATAGATAACAGACGGAATTTCAACGATAATAAAAATCGGAGACTCTTTTATAAAATACTCTAAAAAAGTACTAATACGATACTAAAAATACAGGACTAGTGAATGATTACAAAAGAAAGAAATAAAAACTTGTATTTCAAGCCAAGAATGGGTATTATTAAAAATTGATTTGAGAAAATGGTGGTAAATCAAGGAAATACAGCCAACCTACAGCATGGCCAGAATAATGCACAACACAAAAAAAGAACTTCTAAAAATTAAAGAAAATAAAAATTAAAACAAAATGAAGAGATTATAGACAATGACAGAGATATTTCAGAAAGTATGAATAATTATTTCATATATACTACAAGACAAATTAATATTGATTCGAACTAAATAGACTTTCACTATTTGAATGACTTTAACAGAACCATCAATCATCATTTTTGCCTTACACCAACAAATGTAGACGAAGTTCAAAGCTTGTTTCGGCAAATCAAGCCGAAACATGCTTTGAACTTTGAAACATGCCAAGCTCAATTTAAAAAATACTTTGTTAGGCTAGAGTTGATAATAGGGATAATAGGAAAGTTTATTATTGATCCACTTGGGTTCTGCATTTTTTCGAGTTCCCTTAAAACTGCTATAGTTACCCTAGCTTTTAAGGGTAGATCTTCAATTGACTATTCCAATTATCGGCCTATTTATTTTTAAATATTTATTAGGAAGTGCCATAATTTTTTTATGGGAATCAATCACGTTATGAGTGATCAGCAGTTTGGGTTTGAAAATAATTCAAACACTATTGCTGCGTGCCTTAACCTGACTAATTTTATATCTGAAAATATAGATGAAGGAAAGTATTTTTGTTGCATATTTCTGGATTTCAGGAAGTGTTTCGACTGTGTCGACTATGACGTGCTTTTACATAAGTTAATTAAACTAAATTTTGGACCATTGGAAATAAATTTTTTAAAAGCTATTTAACAGAGGGCGTGCGAAAAGTAAAAACTAATTCTGCAGTAAGTAGCGGACAAGTATGCATTAAGGGGTTCCACAGAGCTCAATTCTTGGAATTCAAAATTTTTTAAAATATACATAAATGACATAACTCGGCTAAAACTAAAAGGTGATATAGAACTACACGCGGACGACACTGTCTTGAAATATGCGACTATGTAACAATAAGTGACTATATAAGATATGACATAGACGTAATAGACAAATGATTATTAAATAACTAATATTATTCGGCTTGGCAATAAAAAATTCAGTAGCCCCCACATACAGATCAACAATAGTCTTATATAGGAAATGTGAAAAGCCACAACTACTTGGGTTTGGTTATAGATGCTAAACTTTGCCGGTCTAATCACATAAATTTTTTAACAAGAAAAATATGCATTTATACTTTTTTGTTGAAAAGGTTGCGAAGGTTTTTGTGTTTAATTTATCGAAGGTTATCGGGCTTAATTTATCTAAATCCAATCTGGAGTACAGCTTCATCTACAGTGTTTAATAAACAAGGCATATGTACTTCACAAAACGGCTATAAAAATAATTCGTAACTACCTAATATGTTATCCAATCGATTTATTATATTAATCAACAAATAACAAAGCCTAAGTAATATTAATAAAAGGGAACTATGTATTATTGCCTTCAAAACTGTAAATGACTTTTTGAAACATATTGAGTATGGGAGTAGACATACATAACAGAAATACCAGGAGCAAATCGAACTTTTATCTGACGCTTTTTAGGGCAGAGAATTGCTTATATAACTGTTTAAAGCAATTTAATGAACTACCAAGCGAACTGAACGAAATAGACAATCTTTGTACTTTTATAAAGGAAGTAATCGAACGAATTATTTGTTAAGGTGAGATTGTCTTTAATAATTTATATAATACATATGTTTATAAAATAAATATCATAAATATAATTTATAAAAATATTTTCTATAATATCAGAAAATTTTTATTGAGTTGTATATTATGTACACATGAGTATATTTCATATACTTACATATACATAGTGTATAGTGTAAACATGGTTCTTTTTTTAATATTGTTTAATAATAATAATAATTTAGTAATTATTAAATTCATACCTTTTTGTTTTTTATTACAATATTATGATAATAATTATGATAATCATAATAATAAGTTTTAAATTTCACAAATTATCTGTACTGTATTTAATATTATAATTCAGATTATTTTGTTTTTAAATTATTTTAAATTGTCAAGAATAAGCATTTAGTACCTTAATCTTTAATATTTTGAATTCTTTTTTAGCATGAGTTTAGTAAATAAATAAATAAAAATTTTGTAATCAAAAATCTTTTATTAATTTTTTCAAAAAAAAAAAACAAATTGGAAATGAATGCTTATTCTGTCATTCTGTCGATCCGTGCGACCGTACGGCTGTACGTTCTCCGTTCATCTATCTGTGTGTCGGTTTACAAAATTTCTACACCGAGTAAAATAGAGAGAGGAAATTTTGTATCAAATAGATTTTACTAGAAATCTATTTCTCTAGAAGAAAATTTTTACCTATGTCCTCGCTCTGAAAGTTATAGCCTCACAATGTTCTAAAAATCACTTTTTTCGGCAAGTTGTTATCTCGCGACCGTATAAATTTTTGCAAAAAAATATTGACTAGCTTTTTCTACCACGATACAGTATAATTTAACATCAAAATGAGAAAGTGACCTTTGAAATTAATCACTAGTCGAAATCTAATTATTTGAAACTCTTTATATCTTTTTTTAACTAGGCGGCAAGTGGTACCAGTCTGAAATTTTATCAATTTTTAGATACTGAAAAATACTTTACTTCGGTAAAAGACAATTTTTTCCACCTCTACGCCCTGTCAAGCTATTGCCCCTTGAAATATAAGAAATTTAAAATCTCATCTCCGTATATTTCGAAAACTACAAACTTTTTAAAATTTCTGTAAAAGCAAAAAACTAATGGAAAATATTGTGCCATTTAAAAGCATAATTATTTATCTCAACTTAAATGTCGAAAAGCTTCTTTAAATTTTATTTCTTGTCTACAATCGGCACTATGTTATTCACAAATTGTGTTTTTGTGTTAAAATTTTAATTAATCTTATCATCTGAAATATTGATATTTTAATAACCAATAAACAATTTTTTAAAATATTTATGTAGATCTCATTACTTCTGCATGTAGTATTTCTAAACTATTCACTCTTTGTTTAAAACCATAAATCTTCAATCAATATTAATATACTTATTTACATTAATGAATTATATTATATTTTCAGACGCTTACAAGCCAAAGTAATGATTTAAATTATATTCTTGCGAAAACTTTGTCAGTTATATTAGCTGCAGCTAAATTTAAATCTTTTGTTACTGTAACAGCAGATCAATTGGTTTTTGGTTATGATGACCCCTTAGTGACGTTAGCACATCGATTTTATCCACGCCATAGGCGACCAATGTCCCAAATGGGCCTTTTAATTGGGGTAAGATAATTGAGTAGGTTCTCTACTCGAAAACATATTAAATATAAATAAAAATTTGGCTAAATTTAAAATTATTGTAGCCAAATTTAGAAAAAAAATGTGTATTTATTTTCATCAAGCAGATTGAATACATTATTTCTCCAAGGATTGTTATTTTTTTTACGTTAACAGTTGTTCTAATTTTTTAATAATCATATTTTAGCAACATAATGGAACAAAGTGTAGGCTTTATTTAGAACAAAACTTAAATTTTTGTTTAAAAATTTTAACTAAGAACCGTAATTTGACGTTAGCATCATATAATTTTTATAAAAGTACCTTATGTTCTCCTGTAATAAAAAATATATTTGCAATTAAAATTTTCTTTTCTAATTATATTAAACTTAGAAAATCGGAACCAAAACAATTATTGTATACTTAATTTAAAAAAAAAATTTTTTTTTCTTTCAATATGTTAAACAAAATAAAAGTAATAATTTGACAGAACAGTTGTGAATAAATTACAGATAATTTGCATATAGGTATGTCCAAATTTTTATAGGTATCATGAATTTTTGAAACTGCAGAAATGCTTATAAGTAAATGTTTGGTAGAGGCGTTTACGACCAATTAAATCTCGGCGAAGATTTGTCAAATTGCTTTTTCTAAATCATTTCTTTCTTTAAGGATTAAAATATGGCCTTAAATTGAGGATGTTGAACTTAGATATGAAAAGAGTTTATCAGATCATATAAGAGAGTTGAATATTTAACTAAGATCATATAAGCAGACGGTCTTTTTTAGCCTAAAAGGCATTGAAGATATTCAAATTAGTGCTCTTCAGAAGTTACAGTAAGTAATGTGTATTTAATAGAATCATAAACATTTTTCACATGATAAAAATCGTATTTCAAATCTAAAATAGAAAAATATTTTTTATATTTCGGTATATCAACAAATTTTTTGTGGTTTGAAATGGGTAAATTATGCTTTGAAATGAAGAATAATGCTTATTCTATTCGCGGAAATCTACGCAAATTTTATTTTAACCATTTTGGCTTTGTACTTAAATCATAGGACTTACACTCGCCGAATTATTTGGCCTAATAATCTTTCCTTTAAATGAATCGTTTAAAGTTTTTTGTAATTCTAGTTTTTACGAATAGGCCAGTTGCAGCGCAATTAAACTGAAAGAATGGGAAAAATACTTTTCATTTTAAAATTTATTTCTATATTGCTACTATTTGCGACGTCAACTTTTGCATAATATAATATCAATTACATGTTCCTTAAATGTTCTTCAAAATTATCATATAATATATATTATGATAATTCATTAAAATTATCATATAGGTATAATATCAATTATCAAAATATAAGATCATTACCAAAAAAAAATATTAATTTCCTGCTAAAATTTTCTACTGCACATTTTATTTCAGTACAACTAAAATTTCTACTGCACAAGTATTTAAAATTTTAGTACACCTTGGTAAAATTATTTTTGATAGTATTGTTCTAGTTCAAACGATCTTTGAATAACCATTACTTATCCCGAATTCGAATAAAACATGGTACCTAAATTTTGCCATACTGAAAACATGACGTTTTTGCGCGTTTTGGTTTTCTACATAAATTAGCTATATTTAAACAGTTTAATTACGATTATAACACCGTATTCCGTGATGAATTTTTTTTTTCGATGTTTTAGAACTTCATTTTTAGTTATTTTAGTTTTTCATGCATATTTTCGCCAAACAAATTTTTAATTCACATAGAGTGAATTATAAAACAAGTAAAAACGTTTCAGTCGATATAAACCGATTGAATTATACCCTGCACCTTTCGTTATTGTGTAGCAATTACACGAATCCGTGAAGGCATTCTATAGAAACTTCACGGATATGTCTGACCTATAATTGGACATCCGACTGCCAAGTTTCATGAATCTGACTTTATTATTTTTCCAAATATTAAGAATAAGCTTTTAGGCTTGTATGGTATCTACTCGAACCTGTCAAGCAATTCCACCAAAACTTCAGAAATATATCTGACCTGTAACTCGACATACAAGTGCCAAGTTTCATGAATCTGACTATATTATTTTTCCAAATATTTAAAATAAGCTTTTGGGGTAGTATGGCAAGTACCCGAACCTGTCAAGCAATTCCACTAAAACCTCACAAATATATCTGATCTACAATCGGACACACAACTGCCAAGTTTCATGAATCTGACTTTATTATTTTTCCAAATATTAAGAATAAACTTTTAAACTTGTATGGGAGCTACTCGAACCTGCCAAGCAATCCCACCAAAACTTCAGAAATATATCTGACCTATAACTCGAGATACAACTGCCAAGTTTCATGCAATATACATAAAGATTATTTTAAATATTTTTGCAAATATTTAAAATTAGCTTCTGGAGTTGAAAGGCAGGTACCCGAACCTGTCAAGCAATTCTTCTAAAACTTCAGAAATATATTTGACCTATAATTGGACACATGACTGCCAAGTTTCATGAATCTGACTTTATTATTTTGCCGAATATAAAAAATTTGCTGTTGGAGTTGTATGGCAGCCACCCGAACCGGTGCAGCTATCCCATTTTAATTTTTAGAGCACGTGTAGAATATAATTGGACACATGTATACAAAATTTTATATTTATAGCTTTATTAGTTTTCGAAATATTTAAAATAAACTCTTTGAGCTGTATGGTAGCTACCCGAACCCGTTGTCCGAATTAGTCCAATAACAACAGGGTTCGTCTTTGGCACAAAAGAAAAAACTTGTGAAAGTTTGGTGTCGATAGCATTATTCGTTTTTGAGTTATCGTGCGATCGGACGGACTGACGGACATGTCTAAATCGACGCAGAATTTTACGCTGCGCAAGAATATAATTATATATATGTCCATACCGCAGTTGACTCCTTCAAGTAGTTACAAACTCCATACCAAAGTTAATATACCCTTCACGAAGTGCAGGGTATAAAAATATATATATAGTTACATACACATAATCATACACATTATGATTTTGATTATAGAATACACAAAGAGTTTTTTAAAGAAAATTAAAAAATAACACATACACTTACCGAAAAAAGTATAGGCACAGCTAGAAATTTTATTTTTGAACCGAATTTCTGAAAAAAATATAAACTCTACCGTAAAACTCTAATAGTAAAATTTGTTCATTAATTCATTCTTTATTCAATACGTAATAACAAATTTTTAAATTCGTAACCGAAAAGTCAAAAAATAATTAAATAAAAATTCGCAAATTCGGTGCGAAAAAAGTATAGGCACAGCACATGTTTTATCTTAATTTATAAAAAAATATTAGTAACTAATATGAAGTAGGCATTCCTTTTCATTTCAAAACTTCTTTTAGTCTATTAGGCATTGTATTGACTAGATTTTGAGTAATACTTGGTTAAATATTCGCCCATACGTTTGCTAAAACATCCTTCAATTGGGTCTTAGTAGTAATGTGATGAATTCCAACCCTTTTTTCTAAAATATCCCATAAATGTTCAACGGGATTGATATCTGGAGATTGAGGAGGTGTTTTTAGAGCACCGAAAACATTATATAATATCCACCCTCTTACAATATGTGCAGTGTGTTTCGGGTAATTATGTTGTTGAACATGAAAATGACTACCAAGACCCAAATTGATTGCACTTTTCTTAAGATTTTCCTTAAGAATATTTATGAACATCATCTTATCCACTGTTCCTTCAATAAACACAAGCTCCCCAACTCCAGATGTGGCCATACAACCCCTTACTATTACTCCACCACCTACATGTTTCACTGTTGCACAAAAATTTTCTTTATTCAGTTTAGTGTTATATTTTCGCCATACTTTAATTCGACCGTCACTGCTGTAAATATTGAATTCGACCGTTTCTGCTGTAAATGTTGAATTTGCTCTCATCAGAAAAAATAACTTTTCCAAAAATCGGTATTTTTACAGCATATATAAAAATATGTAAATGATATATAAAAATTGTATTCCAAAATGTACGAAAAACTATTTTTAGCAACCTGTCGGTTTGCGTGTGCACGCGTGTATCTCAAGTTCTGCTGAACCGATTTTGATTAAATTTGATACGTAAGTCTATTTCCACCATGGCACGGATTAATCAACTTTTGTGATATATCAGGTCTCGGGAACTGCTCTTTTTAGCGGGCCTGTTTTACATTTTTGACCATTTTGAGGAAAATGTTCAACCGATTTACTTGTAATTTCATATATAAGCTCAGCCCGACCGTCCGCGAGATCTCCTAACTTTTGGAAGACATCAGGTGTCAGCAACTGGATGTTTACTAGGGGCCCAATATACATTTTTGCGTATAAAGAGAAATAATCGACCGATTTCATTGAAATTTAATATTTAAATCCCTCGTATTAAAACAATGAACATATAAATTTTTTGGAATGATCAGGGCTTGAAAACTGATTTGCGGGCCGATTTTACATTTTTCACAATATCTGCGGAACGAATGGATGGAATTTGTTGAAATTTGATATTTGAGTTCTAGTTGTTACCGAAACTAACTAGCGAGCATTACAGGGTATTCGGGTAACACAAAGAGAAATTCTACTAAGAGCCAAATTTACATTTTTTTGGTGTGTAAACTATAAGCTTACTAACGTCCTAAAAATTGGAAAGAAGTATTTAACAAACATTGTTATAATATTCTGTAACACTTTCACTTAACTAGACAATACACATTGCGATCGGTTATTTGCTGGTCACTTTAGATTTTTGTATCCTCGGACTCACACGATGGATGGAGGTTTCTAGCCATAACTTTAACTGATCTTGTCAGTTTATTCTCATATGTGTGCCACTCCAGTCTAGCCTTATTTATAGCTTTTGTTAGTAATCTGTATTCATTTTCATTTTTCACAATTATTTTTAATTGGTCATTATTCATCATATTGACCTTAACGTTTATTCTTTCTTCTTTTAATACGTTAGCTATGTGGGAGTAATTCTTAA